TACACATTCATTTGAATATCGCAACGTGAATTTGACTATCGCAACGCAAAAATCGCAACGCGAATTTGACTATCGCAACGCGAATTTGACTATTACAATGTGAATTTGATTATCGCAACGGGAATTTGACTATCGCAACGAGAAAATCGCAAAGCGTATTAGACTATCGCAACGCGAATTGATTTTCGCGTTGCGATTTTGGCTTTCGCATTGCGATTTTGAGTTTCACATTGCGATTTTGAGTTTAGCGTTGCGAAAGTGTACCTTCAACAGGTCTTTTGCCTTCAATATGATACAGATTGAAATCAACAAATCAACTTTTACATTTCAATCAATTAAACAAGAACAAATAAGAATTATTTACACATCAATTAAACAAATCAACTTTTACAAATCAACTTTTACAAATCAATTAAACAAGCAAAAAATAATAATAATTCTTATTTTCCTCATCAATTAAATAAATCAGACTTTTAAGAATCAATTAAACAATAAAAAAAATGTACCCTAGACAGTTGTTTATGCACCCATACATCAATTTCACGTAGCTCACTTCAGGATTAACCTGCAGAAACCAAACATTTGCTCAAACAACACTTTCTACACATCTAAAACCAACAAACATCAAATTATTGAATTCTAGGTACTTAACAACACTTGCATTTGACTTACTAATTGTTTATGGACACTTTTATAACGCGGATGCAGGTAGGCAGCGTCTCGCATATATCGTTCTAGCCATAAAATGCCGAAACCACAAGCCTACTGCACCTCTATCTCTATCGGTGGGAGGTAGAAACTGTGTACTTCCTATCGTCAAACGCTCCAAGCACATGCATACGAGAGGAGCACAATCCCCTCTGGCTTCCTGCGTTTGTTGTGGCGCGGTCTCGTCTATGATAACTGTAACATTGAACTTCTTTGGCTTCTTGTTTCCAGAATAAGTCCAATAATTAATCGCATCCAAGAATTTAGCCAAATGAGAGCTCCATCCCTTAATAATATCTCTCAAATCAGACAATGATATGTAATTTATCATGCTGTCATATACTATTATCTTCAGGGATGGGAGCTGAAGCTCGACGAGAAGCCAATGAGTACGTTCCAAAATAGGGATAAACACCTGCAATCATAAGTAATAATTCAATTGCGCACTTAAATATGAACACCTTTAAAATATTTAAAAAATAAATACTAACATTATCGACCTCCCAAGTCATTATTCTATCATAGTTCACAAAATGAAAATATTCAAACAACACTTTCTACACATCTAAAACAAATAAAGACAAATATGATTCAAACTTGCACGGTATTCACCCAAGTCATTATTATATCATAGTTCACAAAATGCATCAGATAACATTCCAAAAGTAAGCACTTATATAAACATTTAAAAAGACAACATATAGGTTTAGTGCATGCTCAAGGACAACATAAAGAGTAGTAGTTTATTCTTGAAACTTAAATTTGCAACACTGTGAAGTTAGTATTTGTCTTTGTCTTTTGGTTGAAGTAATGCAATCCATTCAAGTTTCAATTTGCAGAAGAAGAATAGTTTCTGAAACTTAAAATCGCAACACGAAACTTAAAATCGCAACGCGAAAATGACTATCGCAACGCGAATTTGACTATCGCAACAAGATAATCACAATGCGAAATAAAAATCGCAACGAGAAAATCGCAACACAAAACTAAATTCGCGTTGCGATTTTCACGTTGCGATTATCCCGTTGCGATAGTCATTTCCGTGTTGCGATAGTCATTTTATCGTTGCGATTTTAAGTTTCGTGTTGAGACTATTCTTCTTCTGCAAATTGAAACTTGAATGGATTGCATTACTTCAACCAAAAGACAAAACAAAGACAAATACTAACTTCGCAGGGTATTTTAGAACTGTTTAGCAGTATTGACAGCAACCGAATGAATTTACTAAGCAATCTAAGTGACATTACGAGTAAATCAAGTTAAATATGAAAAATCTTAAACTTACCTCGTTGCGTAGAGTATGAACCTCATTCTGCAACGATGCTACCATCTCATGTAGAGCCGCTACCTCACCACGTAAAGTATATACCTTATCACGCCATGCACCATTGTCATCGCGTAAAGTACTGACCTCCTCACGCAAGGTATTGACCTCATCACGTAACTCCTCTAACTCATCCCGTGGAGGTGGAGGACAGAGAGATAAATGTCGTGGCATCTTTTTCGGTCGCCTATCATAAGGTGATGGTGGAGAAGAGGCTCGATGATGTGACGGAATAGGTGATGGCTCTCGTTGTAGAGGTGTATAGTGTGGTCGATCAGGTTATGTCTCTGGGTGAGGTGATGGCTCTCGAAGTGGAGGCTTCTCATCATCCATGCCATCAAAAAAACGCTTACTAGCTTGCCACCAATCAGTGGCAAGCTCAGCCTCCGTGGGTGTCAGCCTCTGTAATGGAGAGTTGGCCTCCTAACAATATAAAAGCTCAAACAAAGTTAAACGTGTACTATTAATAACTTTTTTATATATGGTAGTATTTGTGTTAACTTACATCATTTATTGTCGTATACCGTAGTAACTCTTCCCAAATCAACAACCGTCGTTTCCTCTTCCAGGAAATAGCCCTATTAATATCATTTGAAGTTTTTAATGCATATGTCTTCATGTCGGGAAAAGCCTCAAATATCCAAATCTACAAACAATATAATACACAAACATTAGTAATTGTTAAATAATTAATTATAATTTTGGAAACATTATATAGAAATTCTTACCTTAAAGGCCCAAATAAAGCCTGACAAAGTGTATTTGGAACCATCGCCACGTAAACTTTTGTGGTCATCAAAGGCAGACGACAACTTATTCCAGGTAGCTTTCCATATATACGAACCTCATAGAAACATGTTCCATGCATTTAGGTCTTCTACCAATAATATTAGGTCCTTAGGATAGGTTGTCTGGTCTCTCTTCCTAAAAAACCGGCATGCAAAAGTACTAAAAGGCATACTTCGACAACATCGACGTCATCCATCCAAGTAAAACCATCTTTCTTATTAAATAATATCGTCAAGTCATCGACGTGTAAATTTGGCTTCTCCATTGACAGCTCAGGAAAAACCCGGGATAACCATGATGGCCGGGTAATATGACTAGTGTATCGACCTACATCATCGTGTCCGAAGCGTAGACTAGTGATTAAGCAAAACTCCTCCCACCCAAAACACGTATACGCCGATGAAAAATGAAACCATATCTCTTCATTACCACATTTTATACTCTCGGGTAGATCGCTAGTCATGGTCTGAAGCCACAAATGGGTCAACATAGTATCTCCACCCGGATGTTGTACTTTCAGCCATGGCCCGAAGCAAGTATCCTCAAACAATTTTCTTTGTACAGGTGAAAGCTTCGACGCAATTGTAGTGACTAGGCTTATTTTATTCCTTAAGATCAATTGAGCCGAAACAAAGTTCTACAAAAACAATAAACATATCAAGTTAGATATACCAAAAACTACACTGTGAAGATATACCAAAAACAATAATAAACATAAATAGTAGTAGTAGTTTATTCTTCAAACTTAAATTTGCAACACTGTGAATTTCGTATTTGTCTTTGTTTTTTGGTTGAAGTAATGCAATTCATTCAAGTTTCAATTTGCAGAAGAAGAATAGTTTTTAAAACTTAAAATCGCAACACGAAAAATGAAAATCGCAACACGAAAATGACTATTGCAACGCGAATTTGACTATTACAACGCGAAATGAAAATCGCAACGCGAAACTAAAATAGCGTTGCGATCCTCGGTTTCAAATAGTCATTGTCTAAAATTGAAACTTGAATGAATTGCATTACTTCAACCAAAAGACAAAACAAATACAAATACTAACTTCACAAGGTTAAAGACTAAACAGTTTAGCAGTATTGGCAGCAATCGAATGAATTTAATAAGCAATCTAAGTAAAATGGTTAATCTATTATTGAAATTACCAGTAAACTTATCATGAATTTCAATATGAAAAACCTAATAATAATGTAAAAAATTCAAAATAAAAAAAATTAAAAAAATTAACCCTTGGTGGTTGATTTGGTGCGATTTTGTCGTTGCGATTTTCATTTCACGTTGCGATCCTCGGTTTCAAATAATCATTGTCTAAAATTGAAACTTGAATGAATTGCATTACTTCAACCAAAAGACAAAACAAAGACAAATACTAACTTCACAGGGTTAAAGACTAAACAGTTTAGCAGTATTGGCATCAATCTAAGTGAAATGATTAATCTATTATTGAAATTACCAGTAAACTTATCATCAATTTCAATATGAAAAACCTAATAATAATGCAAAAAATTCAAAATAAAAATAATTGAAAAAACTAACCCTCGATGGTTGATTTGGTTGATTTTCCATTTCTGATCGTGAATGATTGTGAGGGTGGCTCTGAGAGATGGAGATAGACGAATTTCGCCGGAGATGGGGACGGATTTCGTCGGAGATGGGGACGGATATCGCCGTAGAGAGTGAGAGATGGAGATGGGACTGAGTTGTGATTTAGGGTTTTAGGTTAAGAGTTGTATTTACGGAATATATTAATATTCGTGTTTGGAATTTGAAAATAAAATACGCGTTGCGATACTAATGGCGCTTTGAAAATCGCATTGCGATTTTGTATTATCGCAACGCGATAGTCAGAATCGTGTTGCGATAGTCAGAATCACGTTGCGATTTACATATTCGCATTGCGAATCTGAAAACTAATTTACGATACTGGAGATCGCGTTACGATTTAGAGATCACATTACGATTTTGTTGGTCATTTTGACAAATCAAAAAAAAAATAATCAAAATCGTATATTTTAAAAAAAATTAGTCACTGAAATTATTCTCTCTTCAATAAATTTGGTACATTTAGTAGTAATCTTCTTTTATTCAAAAGCTTTGTCACACACCGACAAGATTCCAACAAAGCAATCCACTATCTCTCCCCACTTGGGCTTCCTCCTCCTTTTATACAACTCCCCAAGATGCACCTCTAATTCCTCCTCCCCCTTTTTTCCTTTCCTTTCGTTTCTCTTTCCCTTCATTGTTGTTCTTTCAAATTTGCAATGAGTTTCTTTGTGGAAGATCCGGGGCTGATCGTAACCCATCTCCTTTACAGAACAGCTGTTGTTTTAGCAGTTTTAAGATGGGTCTTCTCCTGGGTACTTGGTTTCAAAGACATGAGCTTGTTTAGTATCATTTTTTCATATTCCGACTCCCAGGACAACTCTTCTTCATCTTCCTCTGTTTCTTCGCAAATGATTACAGACAGTTTGGTGCTGACAACCTTTGAATATGCTAAGGACAGGGTACCTTGGGTTTCCGACACGTGTGCGGTCTGCTTGAGTCAGCTGAAGGAAGGTGACGAGGTCAGAGAATTGAGGAACTGTTGCCACGTGTTCCATAGAAATTGCATTGACAGGTGGGTTGACTACGATGAAGATCAAGATCACAACCACCAAGATCATGATCAAGAAGACAATGACAATCACAAAACTTGCCCACTTTGCAGGGCCCCTTTACTCACTTCTTCACAATGCTTGGTGTGGCCGAAGAATGAACCCAGCTGGGCCGTCGAGCGCCTTCTTTACCTATTCGGGGACGATCTTCTCCCTTGATCCACGTCATTTACCTATTCTCTTCAGTTTTTTTTTTCTTTTTACATATTGTTTGCTCAATTAATCACTGAGATAGAGCTTGGAGCAATGGTTATTGTATATTTTAGTAGTCAGTCGATAGTTTCAGCGTAGCGAAAAGGGTCAATTTTGTTCGTTGGAGTGGTCAAAACTCTAGAAGCTTGACCCTTTTAATAGTGGTATTTATATATAAATGAATACGTCTTAATTTTTTATTTTATTTTCATTACGTGCCTAGTATCTCTTGAGCAAAAATACCATGTGAAATTATAACTCTGTATGGTTGTATATACCTATATTTTATTAATTATTGTTCAAAAGATCTTTCCAGTGAGTGGAAGAACGAGTCAATAACTTTGGTCTATGAAGCTTTTGATTGCCTATTCTTTTGTCTGGTAGTTATTAGTATTATTAATTTTTTTTATTTAGTTTTCTTTGGACCGCACATAATTCAATTTATTTAAAGTTTTTCCTTTTCCAGGTTGCTTTTTCATACATTAAAAATAAGTTCAATAATTTTACAACTAAAATTAAGAGATGACATATATATGTGTGTGAATATGTATTGTGAAAAAAAAGTGGCTAATAGATAATCAAGAATCTTCATTTCTATGGTATGAAAAAACCCCTCCTTCACTGACACTTATTTTTGTTTTTCTTTTATATTCTTTCCAAAAAGAAAAAAATAAGTGTAAGAAGAAAATATGTGGCTAAATTCAAGAGTCAACCGAATAGAATTTAGATCTTTTCGGCCCGTTCAATTGGTCGGTATTCGAAGCTGATTTTACATCCAATAGGTTTGGGTTCCATCACATAGGATCATTAAGTAGCACATCAGATGCAGTCCAACAATTGTCGGGGCTTCATTCTTCCTTTGGGTTCTCCCGAGCAGTCAATAATCTCCCCATATAAAAATGAAACCCAAGGCCCTTTAACAGTTCATATACTCTATGAGAGAATCCTCGATTTTAATTAAATTAACTAATTGACCCAGACATTGTGTACAAGTATGAAGAACGTCTTTTATTGCTATTGCACCTTGAATTAAAGCCTCATTAAAGATGATGTAACCGTTCGAAAAAAAATGATTTACCATAGGAGCATACATGTTGATATGTGCTCCCCGAGGAGTACCATCCAAGGCTACCCAACGAAGTAATCATGACAAACATGAATGGATCTAGAGGGGCAGGTGAGTTGGTGGACTTCCATCCTTAAAAAATATAATTTTTTATATATTTTATTTTTTTTATATTTTTATTGAAAATACGTGTTTACCTCTTAAAATTTTATAAATTTTTTACTACTTAAAATTTTATAAGTTCACTCTTCATGACATGAAATCTTACGTCCGCCAACAAACCCTTGCTACATACTAGAAAGAGATATGGGCTCAGTAGATCCGCTTGACTAAGTTCTCATGAAGACAATGTACAATTACTCGATTCTCTATTTAAGGTCTTTACAAACTCTACATAATGTATTACCCTATTAATTCAAACTTTCATAAAGTCTAATTTTTATAAAATATAAGGTTTTAAATACCACATGATGATAATATTATTTACGCATAATATAATTTTATATAATCACATCATCAAAAGTAAATATCATTAATAAAATTATCAAAATAATGAATGGAATCAAATTTTTGTTATCAATTTGAAAGTAAAAATTATTTATATATCAAGAAAAATCATACACAAAAATCTTTAAATATTAATTTAAGAAAACGCACCTAATTCAAATATAAATTAATTAAAAGGAATGAAAATTATCTGCAGTGAAATTAGAACACGAGAGCATAACAAATAGAAATAATAAATAACAACCAAGCTCATCAATCTGACGGCAAAATCAACGAGATAATGCGTTGAATTTTTTTTTCACGAGATAGTGGGATCGCCAGATTAATTGCTCAGGTGGTGTGGTCTACAGTCCCGGGGGTAGGTCGCCATGCACGCCCGGCGACCTACTAGGTCGCCATGCACGCCCAGCGACCTGGTAGGTCGCCATGCACGCCCAACGACCTACCAGCACCTCCATGCACGCCCATGCACGCCCAACGACCTCCATGCACGCCCAGCTCGCCAAAGGTCACCATGCAGTCCATGCTTGGACTGAACAACGTTGGGCCATGCAGGATAGGTAGCCATACAATCCTCTCCACTTGCAGCTGCTCAGGAGAACCTATTCCTCGCGTGATTCCTCTTACATCTGCTCAGGAGACTCATGCATGCAGCTGTAATAGCTGTATTATTGCAGCATGATTTGAGCTGCAAAGTGTCATAGATTCGTGCCCTAGCTTCTAGCCATAGCTAGTCCCTCATGCCATAGCTTCGAGACTGTTCACTCTTGTTATCATAGCTGTATTGGTGCATCATAAAATCAGCTGTGTTGTATTATTGCAGCGTTCAACGGTTGAAAAATGTACAGCTTTCAACGTGAATTATACAGCTCAAATTGATTGCAGCTTACCTACCAACCGTTGAAATATCATTATATATTGGATATGAGGGGTTTAGGGTAGAATCATAAGAAAGAAAGAAAATTTGGCGAGAGAAAGGAAATGAAAGGAAAAATAAGAAGAAGAGGAAATGGAGATAAAGGCTCAAACATCGTTTGTGAGGTAATTTTTAATTGTTTAATTTAGTTTATTAATATGAAATTATGAAATAATTAGTTTGTTAGTTTAGGGTTTAGGATAAAACAGAAATTTAGTTAATTAGTTTGTTAGTATAAATTATTAGTTTGTTAGTTTAAGTTATATTATATTAAATTGTTAGTTTAAGTTATATATTAGATTATATAAAAAATTAGTTAATTAGTTTCTTAGTTTAAGTTATTAAATGTAAAAAATATTTAATTAATTTGTTAGTGTGTTTAAACGTATATTAGGTTGTTTGTTGAAGTTTAAGTTAAAATATTAAAAAAGTTAATTAGTGCTTAATTAGTTTGTTAGTTTGTTATTTTAACTAAATTATATTATAATAAAGAAACAGTTTATTAGTTTAAGTTATATTATAATAATATATTAGATTATATAAATTTAATTTTTTTAATTTATTGTTGTTTAAAGAAATAATTTTTTTACACGTACAGAGCATTACTCCACAACATTTTTCCACATACATATTGATTCGAAGAAAGAAACAATAAAGGAAAGGAAATGAAAGGAAATGAGCAACAACTTTTTCACGATTGTCCATTATAATGGACAGATTATGGAAAATGAGATCGGAGTAGTTTTTCAGTCTGAAAAACCAATAAATATGATGTTCAAAAAAGACATCACATTTATAGAAATAAAGCATAAGATAGAAAGAAAAATTCGAGTTGCAGTTGATGGTTTGAGGTATAGGTTTATGATATGCCCCAACCCAGTCAAATATGCTGCAGTTCCACTTGAAGAAGATGATGATATTGGAACCATGGTTCGATTACATGAGTTAACCAATATATCAGTTATTGAGTTATTTGTTGATGTGCATAACATATGTGATGTTCCTGGGTCATCAAGAGGTGTGGCTCAAAATCCATCTGAAATGACTTTATATAGTCAGTTTGAGGAGCCGACATACAGGTTCCCGAACAGTTTTATGGCACTATTGGAAAGTGTAAATGAAGTCGGGGGGACATCTGCAACAGAAGAGTGTGAGACGAGAAACATACCGGAATTGGTTGTTGATATTGACGCTGAAAATCGATGGGGAGAAATTCATGATGATTCAAGCGAAGATGAAGAAACCGAAGAACCCGTTTTGGGCGGCGACGAAAATATTTTTGGTGGAGGTGCAATTGATGAAGTTCCGGCACCGTATGAAGCTACTCCTCACATGTACGAGATAGACTATGATGCGATGAGGGCACCTGAATTCCCAGACATGCCACATTTACCTCCATACCAAATGACTACATCATTCGATAATTCTGGTGAATTTTCAGTTGGGGTGCAATTCAGAGGAAAAAATGAAGCTACCCTGGCGATTAAAGAGTACTGCATAAAATGCCATGTTGATATCCATGTTGCAGAGTCCAACCAGAAAACCCTATACGCGAAGTGTGTAAAATATGGCCTAGAGTGCAAGTGGAAGATCAAAGTGTCGAAAAATCAAAGGCACGATGTTTGGGTCATCACGAGGTACAATGGTCTGCACACGTGTTTGCGAAACTTCATCGAACAAGACCACCGACTATTGGACTCCGATGTAATATGTGAATACGTGAAGGCGATGGTTGAAAATGATCCAAGGATATCTTGTTCAGTGTTAGCTGCATCTATTCGAAGCCAATTTGGATATCAAGTAAAATATGGCAAGGTGTGGAATGCGAAGATGAAGGCAATGAAGCTGACTTATGGAGATTGGGATATATCGTACAATGAGCTACCACATTTGCTACAAGCAATGAAGCGATTTATCCCAGGAACCATAGTGAAGTCTCAAACCATGCCCGCATATGACGAAGAAGGTCAACTTCTGCCAGGGAAGAAAATATTTCATAGACTATTTTGGGCATTCAAGGCATGTATTGAAGGATTTCCATTTTGTAAACGTATGATCCAAGTAGATGGTACGTGGCTGTATGGTCAATATAGGCATGTACTTTTGATGGCAGTTGCTCAAGATGGTGAGCGAAATATCTTCCCAATTGCATTCGCCATTGTTGAGGGAGAGACAACAGAGGCTTGGGATTTCTTTCTGACCAATCTACGTCAATATGTCATTCGTGAAGATGGAGTTTGCTTGATATCCGATAGAGGAACTGGTATTTTGGCGGCAATTGAACAACCAGGAAGTCGTTGGATACCTCCGTATGCATATCCGACATATTGTATCCGTCATATTGGCAAGAATAGTATCGACCAATTTCATAACGCACACATTCGTAGCGAGATAGTCAGCATGGGTAAGTTTTATTTTCAATATTTGTGCATTTTTTACATGGTTTTTTTAATTGCGGTTTAACACAGTATATTATGAAACAGGATACGAACTACGTCGACCAAATTTTGATAAGAGATTGGAGAATTTGAAGGTATTTTACGATGATCAGCGTGTTTGGAAGTGGGCTTCAAAAATACCGCGGGAAAAATTGTCACAAGCATATGATGAAGGTCGGAGATACGGACATATGACCACAAACCTTGTTGAGGCCATTAATTCGATACTAAAAGGTACACGCCATCTCCCAATTGCGAGTGTGATGAAAGAGACGTACTTTA